GTCAAATAATGGTGTTACATTTCCATAACATTACACCCCGATCGTAGATAGGTTAACGCCGGTCACCTGGCTGTGTAGGGCTCCGTAAGAAATTCAAAAACGCCTACCAGTGAGACACCCTGCTTGTAAACCGGTGTTTGCAAATGCCGAAACATGTTTCTGACAGGCATAGGGAGTAAGACGGGTTACCCGGATATTAGCCCGGATGATTCCCACGGGTAATTTTGCGGCGCGGATGTTATCCAGTAGCACAGCCACTTTGATCATGGGTAACGGATTGGATTTGGAGTGGGGTGGGGCGGGATCCGGGCTAAGCTATATGGATTACTAATTTTTTTCAAATACATGCGTACTATCTACATGCGGGTTTCGAGGATCGTTGTGGCACAGTTAATGTCGGGGAGAAAAGGGGTGCCAAACCGTGAGCCTATCGCCATTTGAGCCTGGAATGTCCGAATTGGCATCTGGTGCTGCAAATGGTTGATTGTCAAGCGCCCGCCTGAGAAAGCGCGTTCCGCATCTACGGAAGGGGCTTAAGCACAAAAAGGGATATATTAATATAAGATCGATTAAAAGGTGTTCAAAGAACTCACCAGGCGCCGTAAGATAATCGAGTACCACGCAAGCAAGCTGGGGACGGCGAGAGAGCTCGTTGTTCCAACATGGAATCGCCCCTCCGTGCTGAGTCAAGACGTCACATGGGATGACAGGTGAGTCGAGGTAGGCTTGAATAGTGTCGGCGTTGAGCGGGGGAGGAGCTGTCGACGATGAAGAGTGGTGTTGAAGGAAGATGTTTCAGATGGGCTGTGTACAGGGAGTTTGTGAGTAAAGTATTACTTATACATCCAATATCGGCACACACCCAAGAATCATTCTGAGATTGAGCCTCCTGGGTCGCATCAGGGCACAGCTCTTCAAAGTGTGACACCATACGGGCGCGAATCGAGTCAACTTTGTAACCCCGATCAGTGTACCACTTTGACCCGCAGTCGGGGCACATCACTGTATATTCAACATTAGCACAAATCAATACACAATTTAACTTGTGGACTCACCAATCGCAATTATGCCGTTTTCATAAAGAAGTGGAATCGGCGCTTGAGAAAAATAAAAACAGAGCCCACTGAGCGACCCACTCCAACCTCAAAATAAATCGAATAAACGTGAGACAAAGTGTGATCAACTTCCTTTTGCGCGTCGCAGGGACCTGTATAACTGGTTTGAAAAATTCTGAACACATATATTTTGCCAGTTTAGAACCTGCAGAACTAGTGCCTAATTGAAGCATATGGGGCCCTGCAGTTAATAAACAGTAGTCGATTACACTTGGTCTGGACGCGTTTCAGTGTGTTTTGAGACCGGACCACGTCTTACAGTGAGTTCGATTTTTTAATTTCTTCAAGCACCAATTCCACTCCTTTTTGAAAATGGCAATAAATGAACATCGGATTCTTCCAACGTAAGTCCCATATACTTATCAAAAACCAACAAACTAGCCTTGGTGGTGACTCGAACAGTCGGGTGGAGGCCCTGTTGGAATGTATCATCGTGTACATTGTATAGACAGTCCCGAACAGTGAGAAGTTTGGGGGCAACTTTGCTGACCAATGGCACACCCGACTGTGACATTCGATCAGTTGGTTCCTTAAAAATCTAATAAGATGACTTTAGTGATGAGACAATGTTCGCATACAACAGGAAATGGTTTGAATCATAAATACGGTCGTGAATATATGTACAATGTTTGCCATGAAAAGGTGTTCATCTGATACGGCTATGTGCATTGACTGCTGACCTATAGCTTTTCATTACCTACCAAACTTTGGCTAGCACTGACCACTAATCCAAGGCAATTTTTGGCCGGCCTTTTTTTTGGGTCCAACCGCAATCCTGGACTTGTTTGCGTGGTATATGCATCCCCGTCGCTTTGCATGAGACATCTACAACAAGTGTGTAGTAGGGCTTGCTTAACACAGCACTGTTCAACACGGGTGCACTTGATTCGAACCGCAACAAATGCGAATTATATGCGCGCATATACTATGTCCAATCTGCGAGCAGAGCTAGTAGCTTCATATCCAGTTGATGAGGAAAGAGGAGATAATCGCCACCAGGTCCTAAAATTATTTCCGAATGTACACTAGGGGACGAATTCCTCCATATTGGTTTCTTGGGTCTTTTATGCATATCTCCACCAATACTTGACCAAATGTGTTGTGCCTACATGCGTTTTGTAGCCACGTGGCCCCCCTATCTAATGATAATATTCCCATAATTTTAGCTTGGCTAGTTGCTGAGCTATTGGCGTTTTAGTATTTTGTTTTTTCCAAAAGGAAGGAATTTCCCCCTACTGTGATTTTGGACCCCCCCTCTTTGCCCGAAACCCTAATGAGGTGGAAGGGTCCAAAAATTACCCAAAAGGGATTGGCCCGAACCCGGGATTGAACCGGGGACCTCGCCCAATGAAAGAACAAAGTTCCCTAAGGGCGAATCATACCACTAGACCATCCGGGCTATAACCTCGGACCCTTCGTTAATTATTCGTGGGTTGTGTTTGTCCGCGTGGTGAGTCCTCGTATTGAATTACCTTGCTTGTGCAATTACCTTGCTTGTGCAAGGTCATACCCCTGTCAAAATTAAGTCACGAGATCCAAAAGATTTACACCTATTGACTCCTGTTTACACAACATTCTGCAGTAGCGCAGCATCCGGGATTATCCTGGGGGAGGCATCTTGTGAAATTCGGGCATCGAATAGGCATGGTGTCCGGAAACCCTGGGATGCCTCAGTCGAGGGTTGAGACAAAATGTTCTAAAAGGGATAATTATACCAATTTGGCGCCGGGCGCTACGCGCCCTGACAAATTTGTTTCAGATAACCTCCAAATATAGACAAGACGTAGGTGCCGATGTCCGGAAACTCAAAAAATTCTCCGCCAGCCCATAGGCAAGACGTCTGGAAGCCCAAGATGCCTCCCCCAGGATAATCCCGGGTCCTAGTAGCGCATAGTCTTCACCCCTCTGTGCTTCGAGATTTCTCGCCGAACCTGTGGCAGTATACCCTCTCGTTCTGATCACATCAGTCACATGTTGATGCATTTTTTTATTTTAAAAAAAATACATTTATAACGCGCCGCATGAACACAAGGTCAAACTGCACGGTCAAAGCCGAGACAGGGCGTACAGGAGGGTGATGAAACAGCGGGAGAGGGGCACGAAAAGAGCAGGCAAGCGGAGAAAGCAAAGGCAGAAAGGCATAACACCAAAGACAAAAGGACAGAGCGCCATGGGCGCGGGTAAGACTAAGAAACAAAGAGGACACACAAGACCAAATCGATCCTACTTGGTGAGAGCACGCGAATTTTTGAGGAAAGCAACGAGGGCCTTGATCCCACTTTTCTCGCGGAATAAGACACTAGGCAGTAGGAAGGACGAGGCTTTGCGAAGGTGTATGCGGGCGTCCGAATAGAGAGGGCATTCGCAGAGCATGTGAGATGGTTTGGACGCCGGCTTCTCCGCATGGACAATTCGCGTCAACTGTTGGGACGAACCGTTTGTAGTACTCGCCAAAGAACCCATGCCCGATTAAGAGTTGGTTAAGGCGCATATGGACATGTCTGGGTGGGTCGAGTTTGTAGATGTAGGAAGGTTTCCACGAGGGGGTGTGTGGAAGGGAGTTGTGTAAGTGCGGGGAGTGCCTTGTGGCAGCGAATTGTTGTCCCCAGTCCTTGACCGCTTTGCTCACATGTTGATGCATGTGCGTTAAAAGAGTGTTAAAAGTTTTATAGGGACTAACATGGTCATACCGGTAACATACGCGATCATTCCCCCACGGTCAGCAGACTGCCCCGGGACGTCTTGTGGTCAACCGGTTTTGACCGTGCTACATAAGTTCAAATAGCCACAAGGTACATCCAC